CCCTAGCTACTAAACGCGGCTTCCTCTTCCCGAGACGTAGGCCCGAGCTTTATGCTCGGTGCTGAACTCGTAACTTCTCTGTGTCGTCTTCTTCTTTCGATCTTGCACACGAGCGTGAGTCGGAGAGAATCGGTGAGGATCTAGTCGATAATCCACTACAATATTAAATAAAGTAATGGCACAAAATCGTTATACATAATTTACCGATAAGCATGTATTATACAGCAAAAAATAATTCATACAAACATAACAATAAAAAAGGCAAACACCTAACCTATAGTTTCTTGGAAGAAACTCCAACGGCCATCATTAAACCTTCGAGATAATCAAAAGCATACCACTTTCTGGACTAAGATGAACCCTTCTCGAGTAGTGGGTCGATTGATTGGTTTGAGACTAGAGATTGGGATTAGAGATGCTTTAGAAATATCTGCAGTCGAATAAATAACTCTAATACCTAAGGACAGCCCAACCTAACATCGTTCCAGCAACAACGACCCGATCCCTAATCTAAACCAAATAGGATTTTTTTAAGAAAAATTCTACGTAAATTCCGCAAACTCGAGTATCAGAAAGATTATTTAGTAGTAATGACAAACACAACTAGAGAAACAAAGCATTACATATTACAACCTGATCATTAAAAAAATAGGCAAAAACAAAACACAGTTACAAAATAACACAACGGTACGAGCACCGTAATTAGCCTCTTAAGCAAAAAAGAAAAAAAAAACAATAAGCAGCTAAATCCCAGCATTTTTTTTTCACACTAATATATATTATTATATTAGCAAGAAAAGGAGAGAGAAAAAAAAAACGAAACGAATAGTACAAATGGCGTGAAAGCCTTTTGCTTCTGCATTTGCTCTGACTGTACACTTGCAAACCGGAATGAGTGTTTTGTTGAGCTCTTCGGCTTAATATCAAACACCACAACTTACCACTACGGACTATGCAAGTTCCTTAACTGCTCGACCATGTCGTGTGTGTTGCTAAACCGTTGGTAGTCCGATCTCGGTAGGACGTTAACCGGGGCTTTTCCCATGGGGTTTTCGGATCGTTGGCCTGATTTTCTTGCTGCGGACAGGCAGTGACGCACGCGGATTCTGTGGTTTCGTGTTTCGGTAGAGAAGCGGCCCCGGACCTTGACCACTAATATGATTTCCTCGTCTCGGACATCCTCACACCACGAGTTTTGAGGAACGCCGTCCACAAACTCTTCCACTGTCGGGAAGTCCTCGAGATGTATCGAAACTTCCGCTATATGGTTTGGCTTGATTATACCTGTTCCCGGATAAACCTGTCCACAATAAGCATCTCTCAATAAGAGTGGTCAATTCGGTTAATAGCTGAATCGATCCGAACCTAATAATACATAAGCATACATTTGAAATAAAATCCGAATGGGTATGATTTCTCAACCGAAATTTTATCCGGAAAATGTGTATTTTTATCAATACAAACTGAACCCAAACCGAAACCAAATTCAATATAAAAACCAAATGGGTATAATTTTTCTAAAACCAAAATAACTGAACCCATGCCAAATCTGAACCAAGTTGAACTTAATATAAAAAACAAACAATTATAGTTTTTCTAAATCTGAAATAATCGAATCCGAATATAACCGAGCCGAAACTCAAAAATGGCCACCCATATCTCTTAGTTTCTAACAATTCCGCTTAAAGAACTCCTAATACCTAAGACACCATTTTTGGATGACCCACTTTTGTATTTCAACTTTTAATCTTGTTTAGGTTTTTAAGAAATCCAAAGGTCGATGCTCAATATGAAAATGAAAGAACTAACCTCAAGCCATTGGGGAAACCCGAAGGAGCCTCTTGGATGGTGATCATATGCGTGACCATCCTCCTTGATATGAGACTGACCATCGCAGATTATTTCGAAGAAAGCACTATTCTTCTCGCTTTTATTCGTAATACGCAAAAGAGTAGTGTCGTGGTTTTGGAGGATTATATTGTTGGTACTAACGATTGTTTCTGGAACCTTGCTTAACTCTCCAAGCATTACTTTGATTTTCTTGTTCGAGCGCATGATTTCCCCGAATTCTTGTCTCCTGATCGATTCGTCGACACGAGCTATCTTGATGCTAGAGACACAGCGAACTGGCTTGTGATCACTGTCTGTCACATCCATGCAGGCATCATACCTATCAAAACAGGAGATGTACAAATAGCATTCCCTCATCAGATAAGATATTTCATTAGTTAGCCATAACAAGTTATTACCGAAAACCATATGACTACAAAGTTCTCTCAGATCTATATTTCATGGATTTTCGAGACGAATGGACTAAATATTAGTAATACGAAAACAGTTGATATGCTTCCAATATGTTATAGATGTCGATGTAGTTTTACTGCGTAAAAGGAATAACCAGCAAGAAACTTACTGTGATACAGAAGAGACAATGGGACACTCCAAACTGCAATCAGATCCCGAATTTTTCCTGCTATCTCGATATAGAATCCTGTCACACCATGCAGGAATACGCTTCTTTTCCCCGGAATCATATCCTGCAGGTAAACAATTTAAATCAAAACATATAATTCCTCAGCAAACTCGATGACTCCAGAAACCTTGAAAATAGATACGTAATAATGACCTCAGGTTTAGCCCCTTTCTATTAGGTAATAACTCATAAAATGAGAACTGAAGGTTCAAGAAGTAGAAGTGGCAAATAGTTGAGCTTTTAGCATAGATGCAACTGTCACCTTACCTTCATCTTCTGTTTACTTAATGTCTATTGTGCTTCGTGAAGTGATTATAAAGAACCCGCGCACTATAAAACTGGACTGGAATCAAACAAACTTAAGTTTTTAGTTATGTTATGCACCAAGTATTCAGATCAATTCAAACTGCCATTTTTTCAGTCAAAAACTGAAGTGACCAACCGATATTTTACTTTTTAGTGAAGAAAAATATCTGAGTTCAGAGTGCACCAATATAAAGTACTACCAATTTCTCCCCCCTCTTTCATAGGTATAGAATAAGTAACATAATCTATCAAGTATTACTTCTATAAGTGACAGATAACGATCAAGTGACTGACCTGCTAGACCAGCTTGGTGTCTTTCGAACTTGTACGTGGGAGGGAACCTGATATCTGCTTCACGCATCCCTTGAAATACATTCCCAGCTTGCATTTCAGCATGTAGCTGATCCTTTTCTCTTAGCCAATCAAAGCATCTTTGAGAAATAAAATCCCTTGCTTCGTCATAAGTTATATCATCCAAACGATAATTAAGATCTCCAAGAAATATGACCATGTCTGCCTCAGATAACTCTGGCATTGGTTCAACTGTGCCAACACCCACAGCCTATAGGAAAATAACTCTTCAGACCTCTCGAAGGAAAAAAGGTAACAAAAAAACAAAACGATAGCAACTTGTACTAATCCAAAGATATAAAACATACATTTCCCCCACGAGGCACTGAAACTCCAAATGAAGCACCAGCTGCAATGGAGGAGACCAATAACAAGAGAGACCAATGAATAGGCCAAAATTGATAAACGGAGTAGGCAACACAGCATGACAGAAATAGATATGGCAGCATACCAGCCCCGGAATTCCCATTAGATTGCCGTGAAAAGGCCATTGTCCGATAAACATGATCAAAGTCAGCGTTCCGACGGTTAACGGCTTCGAGATGTGCAGCAAAATGACAATTGACAAAGCACATTACTCGATCATAAACTCTGAGTCGCAAGCCTACAGCTCCCTATAATGAAGCAATATTTCATAGTCACTATGGAGACAAGAGCAGAACACAAAAGAAAAAGACCACTACAATGAAGATTAGATGAAGTTTTAATACTAAGGAACTACTCAAGCCCTAAACACGGCTTAGATACTTAAGTGAACACTCTTGTATATTAGGCAAGCCACAAATAAAAACAACGTCAAAAAAGGACATCTAAACGGGCATCTCTAGCATTGATCTTAGATTTTGATACAGTTTCATTCCAATCACTGCTTTTAGATCACTGATAACACTCCTAGTCTTAGGTTAACTTTTGTCAATATTACACCATATGGATACCTTGTTACCAATTGCTCGCCCAAAACCACATGCAACTGCAGCAGCGTCAATATCTCCAACATGAGGTTTGAGATTGTTTCTAACCCTGAAAAGATATTCCCATATATCTGAGAAAAGGCTCATCCAATTCAACAAATTCTAACGATAGAAAGAATACCCAAACGAAATACATACACATTTCCCATAAAATAAATAAAGGTAAGCCTAGTACTCTCTTTCTTCTCTGGCTTCCGCACCAAATATTTTGACAAATAAAATAATATGCATGAGTCATGACACAGACCAGAGACGTCAAACAGTTCACGCTACCAACTTGTTCCTTTGTTCTCTATGTAAACACTGTTATATAAAGATCAACTGACACAGGGTTATTACAGTACATCCGATTATGTTAAATTAACAAAGCAAATGTGCAGAAATAGCATGAAATATGATCAACAGTGTCGACAATTTGAATAGTTACAATAGATTAACAAAACTAGTCAATGTGTAATTTCAGATACTAACCAGACAGCAATGAGCAACCCTGCCAGCTGTCTAGAGCCAACGCGTCCAAACGTTGAACCCTCATCCAAAGTTCTGCTGATCATATCCAGCCACCACTGCCCAAGCGAACTACCTTCAAGCCCCACCTACAATCAGGGTAAGGGAGAAAATTTTGAGAAACAAGAAGCTATGAAAACAAAGTTTCAGACATTATAACGATAAGATTTAGCATGTCTAAAGATTTGTTAGCAGAGAAAAAATAGGAGTGGGGGATTCTCTGCAGGAAGGATCTCGCTCGATCCTTTTCTCCAATTTCTACACAGGATATGTAACAGACAAGGAAAATTTAAAAATAAAGCTTTTACGTCTTGCAAAAAACAAAAGACCAATTAAGGGAATGAAAAGATTCTATTCATGCAGCGCATTTACTTCTTAAAGAAAATTCGTAGAACTTTTGGAGAGTATTGTTTACACCCTTCAACAACAATTGTCTTTACCACGGAATATTGTGCTAGAAGACAACTTACAGTTTCTTTTGCCGCCGACATTGCAAGAACCCCTGCTCCCATTTCAACTTCTTGCAACCCAACTACTACGACCTCAACTCCAGATGCAGCAGAGCCTAACCAGGACACAAGTGAGTCGGTTGATGCTCGCCCTTGTCCAACATTCCATGTACCCGTTAATATTTTCAAATTCTCTATCCTTGTGTATAGAAACTCTTTTCCAGCCAACTCTGCTCGCAAGACATTGTCAAGGGGACCAGGAGATGTAACATTCCATCCTCGTATACCCCCATGATTTGCAAGGGTGAATACATAACCAGCCCCAACTGCTATTTTTGTTACAGGACCACTATGTGCTACCCATCCTCCAAGCAGGTTTCCCTCGAGGTCCAATACCTGAACAGTACCATTGGAATAACCAACCCACAGTCGAGAACAAAACGTGCACAAACAGAGAACACCAGAAGACTGGTACGAGAACTCTTGCAAACGGCCACCATTTCCGTCCCATCGTACAAGCGTACCATTTGCACTTCCAGTCCAAATCATTCCATCAACTGATATGACAATTGCCTCAGTTCTCCTATTATCATCACAAAGCCCCCCTTTAGCTGCCGCACGACGAACAGCATCAGCAGCTCCCATAAGTGCATTGCGAGAGCGCTGAAAGAAACCAAGAGAAGATTGTGTTTTCTCTTTTTTTGTGACAGTTACAATCTTCATCTTCACCTCTTCTTCAGCTCCAAAATCAGGAAAAAGTGAAGTGTCAACTCGATTCTCAAGCTGCCCGTCTATATTGAATACTTTAAGCAAATCCTTTGTGCGAGCATCCCTGCAATTAAAGAATAAAAAAGTCACAGACCATTAAGCTACATGAGTAGGCTAAATAGTTGTCTGTTACAAGTTAAAATATACCTGACAAGATTTTGTAGGAAATAAAGTGTTTTGATATCATGTAGTTGCTACAATTCTTATCATATTTTAGATGATCTGCAGTTACATGATCGCTTAAAACCCATTCAGGCACAAGATCAGAATGGTCAATATCTATGAAAGCTAATGTAAACGAGTTTCCACCATACCATAAAGTAAATGACATAGGACTGGCACTCCATATTTTTGCCCTTGTATGATCAGATAGCAGGTGCTTAACGTCTGATGTCAATGAATTCGTATATCCATTGACCGCAACCTGGTTCCTCGGGTCAATATACGATCTCTCTACCGATAATGAAGCCATGTGCCTTTCTTCCATTGTCAGAGAAAGAGACTTTCCAAGGGCTTCCCATGGCCAAATTCTGATAGCGCCTCCTTCTGACCCTGACCATATATCTCCTACAATAATTGCAAACAAAAGATGAGACATGAGGGAGAATGATTAATAAAAAAATCATCCACAAGGATTCCCCAAAATTCATTCTCTTTTTTTAAGACACCACCTTTGGCCATAGAAACAGAGAGGAAATAAAAATCTTGGTGACAGACACATTAGGTGGGACATGTGAACTCAACATTCCCAGAGAAGATAGAACATATATGAAATTTCGAGGCCAATGGTAGCCGCTATTTTTTCCTGGCAATATGCTACTTAAACTACACCATCTCAAGCTAAACAATGACGACTTGAAGTGGAAGAATCACTATTACTTCCTCAACGTTCATTACTGAACAAGAAAAAAACCAAGTTTTTCTTCATAGGCAATAGGCGGCGGAATGCACAAAGTGCTTATGGTATGTCAACTGCTAAACGAGGACTCATCAGTTCTCTAAGTTTAGGCTATCCGCATGCAATTTTGAAGGTAGAATTGTTTTACAGCTTGGTAGGGCGGAATTACAGGAGCGAATATGAATAACTCCGCATGCACTAAATTGAGACTTGGGCTACTGACGTTGAATTGAAATGACTAATGTTAATTCAAGATTACTGTGTTCAAACCAAGAATTTCGAACTCCACCACTCAATGTTAGCATTTAAAACGCGTAATTCTACGGTTCTGTGGCTTCCCTCCTGCGTTTAGATCCATAACATATGGACGGCAGATAAAAACTTTCTGTCCTAGACATAAAGGAAGTGCCACTGAACCAGAGATCATTGGTTTTGCAGCCTAATCCGATCATGTCCAACGAAAATCCATTGCAAAAGCATTTAATCAAGCAACACAGAGATTCAAAAAGATGAACTCACCGTAAGATGACATAACAATGGAGAGAACAGGACCACGGTGAGCCTGCCATGACAAAGCTTCCTCAAAACCATGCTCAGCCCCCATTTTCCAACACCTGATCTTTCCGTCTCTGTGCCCGCTCCAAACAACTCTGCTCCCGGCGTCTCCGATCATACAGAGCACTGCAGACCCAGCTCCCGCCGCCGCAGACTCCTTGTACGGCACCGAATCCTCTTCCTCCCCACCACCGCCGGTACCGTACAATTCAGTAAACTCCCATACCTTTACGCCACCGTCTTCACCTCCAGCCCACAATTGGTTCTCAGTGCTCGTCATCGTCCTCAAGAACCGGTCAATTTGACTTTCTCTCAACGGATGCGGCCTCACCTCCAGACTCGGCGGCCGGTTCGGATGAACAGCCGACCTAACCGGCGCCTTGAAGATCCCGGTTCCGCCTCCTTTCCCGACAAATTCCGGTAACGAACCGGATCGGTCGAAACCGTTTCCATCGCTGCCGACGCCGCCGCTCACCGGTCCGATCTCGTCGAAATTGACCTGGTCGCTGAGCCTCCGGTCGAGAAACTGGATCATGTAGTCGATGCGCTTGTTGGTATCGTCGATGGAAGGATGAAAAGGCTGAGATTCGTCGCCGGAAGAAGACGAGGAGGAGGAATACGAGCGACGGTTGAAAATACTGGACGGAGTAGCGACTGCAGTCGCCGGCTCCGCCGGAGAGGAGGTGGAATCGTAGGGAGTCGTGAAGAAGGAGAAGACGTCGTCATCTTGATCGCTCCGACGATCTTCCATGGATCTCTGGACTTCAAGTCGACTTCAGCAGACTCGGGAAACGAGTTCTTCGCTCCCCTCCGGGATTTTTCACAAGGAAAACGCCCGAAACATGTGATGCGGGTTAGCCTTTTTATTTAAATTAATTATTTATTTTATTTATTTTGAGGTGATGACTAGGATATGGACGTTAATTTAATTTGTGTTTTACCATATGATCTTAATTATATTTTCCCCACTCTATATATCATATATGATCTTAATTATTGATTGTTTTATATTAGTGCAAAACAAAAATAAATACTTTTATTTTAGAAAAATTTCCATAGGAAATTGTTCTTAAGAAAATTTTTATAATATTTAACTTATATATTTATAAAAATAAACATTTATTCAGAATAGTTAAAAAAAATTAATTGGATGTTTTTAGAAAATTAAATCTTATACATTAAAAAAAACTCTATGGAAAATTGAATACAATCAAAACGGATAACCAATCACATGAAAATTCGATTGCAAATTTGTGAAAGACTAAGTTTATGATATTGTTGTGGTCCAATACCTCGTACTTATGAGGTTCATGCAATTGCAACAATTTTTAGGAAAATTAATGAAAATTAATGGTAGATATTCTGACAAAAAACTGATTTGAGATTATAGACCAATAATATTTATCACAAAATACTGTTATTGTAACAATCTTTAAATGATTTGTGGTGAAATGATTGAGAATATATCTTCGAAAACAACTCTTTTTTAATATAGTAAAAACGTGGTCCGGTAATATGTGTATTACGAAAATCATGTTGACCTAACGAATCTTTCCCGACATATGATAAAATGATAGTAGATTGTCTTCAAAATATGGTCCGATTACATACATGTATATAACAATGCATAGATCAGGTTATAATATATATATATATATATATATATTGAAGATTGAGCAATTAAAAAATCACAAAATAATGTTTTCTAATTTATTAGATTTCTGCGATTATTTTTTAGCTGAAATTCTAGTAGACCGTATAAGCTTTTATGATACTTTTTTTTTTTATGTAAGGAGATATAAATGTATATGTTATTGATAATTGTGAAAAAAAACTATTGAAAACCATGAATAGACCTCAATTTATATAATATTATACTTTTTATTTAGTTTTTTATTTTGCATTAAAAATTAAATTTTTATAAAATTATAAATTTATGAAAAAAAAAATAAAACGATATCAATATCTATTTAAATTTATTTAATTGCAACTAATAACGGCAATAATTGTTTTTTTAAAATTTACCATATAATTTATATTTATATGTAATTGTTTCTCTAATACTTTTTGGTGTGAATATATATATATATATATATATATAGTGAAAAGTGAGATTTTTGAGGCTAGTTATACATCTCACACTAGCAGAGAAATTAGAAATATAACATAAGAGTAAGGTGGCATTGGCAATACCAAAAAGATTTTCTTACCAAAACAAAATACCAAAAAGATTAGGGTGTCATCTATCATTATTTAATATTGTTGCTAGGTTTGTTTTTTTGTCTTTTATATGTTTTTTTTTATTACCCTAAAGCATAACTAGACGGCTACTTATTATTTTTTTATATAAAAAAAATATGCTTACATAATGTTTTATATTTTCATAAAGGCAGATATAACTCACACGAGTGCACTCACGTTTAGAAATCTAATGTAACCTCTAGCCTCTAGAGATTAGAACTTGAAAGCAACGGATTAGTCAATGAACAAAGCAGATGAAATCATGATTATTACATAATTCCTCCAATAGAATTTAATTATTAAAATATGCCACCGCTTTAGATTGGTTCGGATTGATTTAGTTTTGTTTTAACCGTTGGCCAAGAAAAAAAATATTAATAGAAAGAGTTCACATGAATCTAATTATATAAATAGAATATGAAAAAAAAGGGTTTTCATAAGCAATCCAACTTGAATCTGGATTTATATTTTATACTATCTTACCAACAAATAGACATATCGGATCGGATGGATTCATCACAACATTTTTATTTGTTCGTCTTTTGTCATACATCGTTCCAATATGATATTGATATAATAATATGGGATGAAAAGATTATTAAACCTAATGTTTCGGGTTTCCTTCTTTTTTGGTATGATTTTTTGTTCCTTCAGTCTCGATTTAATTTGAATTCAGTTTTCATTAAAATATATGATTTTCTAAAAACAAAACCGATCTTATCGTTATTGATGAAAACCTTGCTCGAGTTTCCTCAAGATTTTTATAAAAAAAATGTAACAAGAGTACAATTTATATAAAACGACCGTCTCTATGGATGACTAGTTGATGTATAATTTATTGTGGTAATATCGTAAATCAATTAATAAATAAAATGCCACGAATTCTTAGGGTTTTCTTTCATTCTTGAACCCCACCGAAACAGGACAGTGTGACGAGGAGGACAAAGAACGAACACAAAGACATGAGAGAAGGTTTTCGAAAATTTTGTTTCGTAATAAAAGAGAGAGGAAAAATAAAAGAATGGTTGTTGTTCGAGTAAATAGTGTTGCAGGCTCTCTTGCCTGCCCCCACAGTAATTACAACTTTGCAACACACGACTCCATGACCACTTGCCCCTCTCTCTCTCTCTCTCTCTCTCTCTCTCTCTCTCTCTCTCTCCATCTCTCTCAAAACATAGACAAACCCTAGTTTTTTTTTATGTGTTACATAGACTGATAGACACAGTATTTGGTTCTTGAAACGTTTTGTTCTGAAATGAATGGTGAATGTGTGCAGCTGGAGCAAGTATTTTAAAATGACAACTTATATAATCCACCCCCCCCCTCCTTGAAATTAACATTAATTTGAAGCTTAAATTATTAAACTGAAATTAAAAACACAGATTACGAGAAAATGATAGGAAGCGCCATATAATGTTTTTGAGGGGGTATACATATGCTGTTATAAAAAGATGGGCATAGACGATAGAATGTCGAATATTAAATTGAATTTTTATGTAATCTTGAATGAAACTATGTAAGGTTTCTTCTCATGTAACACGCAAGTTGATCATGGTTTGTTAAAAACAAAATTTAATTATTCGTTTCTATGACAAAAAAAAGTATGCATTCTTGTATGCTAGTGAGCCATCTATACATACACTCACACACCATATATATATATATATATATATATAGTACTTCTCTCTCTCTCTATCTCTCCCTTGAGCTTAATTAGGGGGGGAGCTTCTCATCATCATCTTTATATGCACCTCCCATTCTTTCAATTTCTTTAATTTGATATGTTATCCTAAGTTTATATTTTGTTTTCCTTTACAGTTTTCTTTTTTGTGTGTTCCTACTTCACGGATAAATCGAGACGATATTTGCATGAGCCTTTTCTACTTTCACCAAATTAAACCCATCAATTACAAAAACATATAAAACTTTATATTTCATAAAATTTACAAAAACCCTTTTCTTCTTTTATTTCTGGGGGTGAAGAAGGCGCAGAAGATTTTCTGTGGACTCATATAAAAGAAAGGCAAGAACAGGTTTGACTGCTGACACTGAGGCCCTCAAAGCAAATTAGTACTTTCTACTACTGTATATATATATATATATATATCTATACAAATATTCATTTATGTATAAAAATATCAATAATAATAATCTATGGTTAACTGTATGAAAATCCCAAGACAAAAAGAATAAAGAATAAAAAGAGAAAATTCTTCATCCCAAGATCCATCAGCTAGGGAGTCCGGAGTCAGATCCCAGACTCCTCCGTTCTCGTCTCTCTTCTGTAATTATTTCCTTATTTCTTCCCTCCTTTTATTATTTCCTCTTATTAATTAGTATTTTTTTTATGTAAATTAAATTTTATTATTGCTATTATACTATTATAGTCTATGTTAGGGTCCAAGGGTTCATCCCAAGATCCTCTTTTTCATCAAGCCAGCTTTCTTTCTTCCCTTAGCTCTTAGAAACTCTCACCCCTTCACATGGACTTCAATTTGCTGCTGTAAATAATGCTATAAGCCCATAATATAGCAATATCGTTTGTAATTGTTTATTAATAATACCTATAATAATTCTTTATATATATATATATATATACACACGTGTGTATACGGGGGTTTTTTTTTTGTAAAGTTATTTTAAGTGGTTTATATGAAATTCAAGAAAGACGAGGGTTGGGTCAATCGAGAGTAGCAAAAACCAGTAAGTCACACATCTTCACGAGATCCAATCTTTTGCTTTTTCAGCCATTTTCATTTATTTCTCATAAATAAGCATTTTGATCCCATCTCTCTATATATAACATCAAATATATATACACGCATAATTTATATCGAAATTCCGAGGCAATATATTATATATACATATGAAAGGTAAATCTTACTCTCCTCGTTTTTTTCTTAAATTTTTAAATCTTTTTAAGTTTTTTATTTTTATATATTTGACTTAACCTGAATCAGGTCTATGAAGTTACAAAAATTGTTCACAGAAGCAATCAAAGCTACACATCCCTAGCTCCCTCTACCTCTGCTTCTAATTCTAAGTCTTGCGTTGTGTATATATGTGTACATATACATATATATATATATATATTTCTTGTATTCGTTGCAGAGGTTGAAGTTTGACTTAGAAAACACCGTCTAATTCTTCTTCATTTTTGTTAAAGTGTATCGGGGTGTGTGTATGGACGCGTATACACACGCGATACATATATATATATATATATTATGTAGCTCATGTTCGGTGTAGTAAACTACTAATTACCAAGTCTCTTCTTCTTCCTCCTCCACAGCTGTTTATTTCTTTATGACCGATCCAAGAAGTCAAGAAGCAAAGGAGGATCTCCTGTTCTTGCTCCACCAAAGAGCAGAGAAACCCTAAGATTCAGATCCTCTCCCCAAAAATCGAAGGCTTATCTTCCATCTAAACCAGGTATTTAATGGATTATAAATCTCTCAAAAGATCCAACGAATTTTTTTCTTAGATTTTTTGTTGAAGAAATTGGGAAATCTTTCCATGCCCTCTTTCAACATCTGCAACACAATCCTCAAAGTTGTTCGCTTTTCTCTTTTGATAAGTTGATAGCTTTCACAAACATGAATTCGCGTGTCTCTGATAAGATCTGGTTTCTGTTTCCTTCCACCATAAGGCAAAAAACCCTAATCTCGATTTCTTACCCTCGTGTAGATCGTTTAATCTCCACATCTGGAGAGATCGAATCAGACATCCTATTTCTTCCCACCAGAGACAACCCAAGGTCTAATCAAGTCGTTGAGCCATGGCCTCCTCGTCATCTTCGAACTCGCCATGCGCGGCCTGCAAGTTCCTCCGCCGGAAATGCCAACCGGAGTGTGTTTTCGCGCCATATTTCCCGCCGGACCAGCCGCAGAAATTCGCCAACGTCCACAAGGTGTTCGGCGCGAGCAACGTGACCAAACTCCTGAACGAGCTCCACCCGTCACAGCGAGAAGACGCCGTCAACTCTCTCGCCTACGAAGCCGACATGCGTCTACGAGATCCCGTCTATGGCTGCGTCGGCGTCATATCTCTTCTCCAGCACCAACTCCGCCAGCTTCAGATCGATCTCAGCTGCGCAAAATCCGAACTTTCCAAGTACCAAAGCCTCGGCCTCCTCGGCATCAACCTCCTCGGCGGCAACGCAAACGCATCCACAAACGCAAACGCGAACGCAGGGCATCAGTTCCACCACCAGTTCTTTCCTAGGGAGCAGATGTTTGGAGGGTTTGTTGATAATCATCATCACCATCACTCCGGCGGGAGCAACTACGATGGCGCGACCGCCGGGATTTTGACGATTGGACAAATCGCGACGCAGTTTCAGCAGCCGTGTCCGGCGGCCGGAGATGACGTTCGTCGTACCATCGACCCATCTTAAGTGGTCATTTCACGATTTAGGGTTTGGATTATCCATTGAAGCGAATCAAGCATACGGTGCGTATTTAAATTTGATTATATGAATTTTAATTGATTATTGTTATTATTTATGGTCTGTTATATTATATAATATTATACGATAGGGTCGGTTTTTGCATTGTTTTCATCTTTTGGACCACGACGATATACTTCTTTGTTTTTGGTGTAATGGATAGATATAAAACTATATATAAGTTTAGAGATTTATTATTATATCAAGTAAATTAATATCGGATTCGAGTCCATATAACGAGTAAATTCTTGTGATGGCAAGACATGAACTTAGAAGTTACATATTATTACAAGACATAAACTTAAGTTTAGAGAGAATCTCTCTCTCTCTATATATAGAGAGAGAGAGAGTCGTGCTTTCGAGTCATCAGAGAACTCAATTATGTAACCAGGTCCATGCCAAAATACTACCCTATCACAAAAAAAAACCCATAAACCTTCACTTTGTACCTTACACCTGCATATATATATATATATATATATATATTATATAACTAGTACACTATGACATTATTGGTTAAATATTCAAAGAAGTCTAGTTTAATTGAAGCCAAGTGGCCGAACCGTACGTACACTTGATTTTATTTTGTCTATTAATGATTCGATTTTATTTTTACATCAATAAATAATTTCTACTTTAATATTAGGGAGATTCACATATTAAATACTCAACTTTAACCAAATTTCCAAATTAAATACTTAACTATCTCACTTCCAAATTAAATACTCAACTATATTGAAATTCACAAATAAAAACTAAACTTTGCAAATTTTAACATATACCTAAAGGATAATCCAAAACAAAACCCTTTACTTTTTTTTCATCACAATTTAAACCCTATACTTTTTTTATCCAAAAAAACCCTAAACTTTTCAAAATTTTAAAAATGATACACATTCATATACATATATTAATTATTATAAGCACAAAATCAATTACACATTTATTTTCCACAAAATTAATTGTACATTTATTTTCCACAAAATCAATTACACATTTATTTTCCACAAAATTAATTGTACATTTATTTTCCACAAAATCAATTACACATTTATTTTCCACAAAATTAATTGTACATTTATTTTATATATTTATATGTATATATATGTTTTATATATATGCGTGATATATGTATTTTTTTCCTAAAAAATTATTATATATATAAAAAACTATTTATTATTTGTATATTGTTTTATATATAAAAAACTATTTTCCAAAAACATATTTATATGTATATATATGTTTTATATATGTATGGTATATGTATTTTTTTCCTAAATTTTTTATATATATAAGAAATTATTTATTATTTTTATATGAGTTAAATTGTCCAAAAAAACATGTTCTTGAAAAATAGTTTCTTATATATAAAACAATATACAAATAATAAATAGTTTCTTATATATATACTGATTTTTAGGAAAAAATACATATATCTTACATATATATAAAACATATATATACATATAAATATATAAAATAAATTTACAATTAATTTTGTGGAAAATAAATGTGTAATTGATTTTGTGCTTATAATAATTAATATATGTATATTAATGTGTATCATTTTTAAAATTTTGAAAAGTTTAGGGTTTTTTTGGATAAAAAAAGTATAAGGTTTAAATTGTGATGAAAAAAAAGTAAAGGGTTTTGTTTTGGATTATCCTTTAGGTATATGTTAAAATTTGCAAAGTTTAGTTTTTATTTGTGAATTTCAATATAGTTGAGTATTTAATTTGGAAGTGAGATAGTTAAGTATTTAATTTGGAAATTTGGTTAAAGTTCAGTATTTAATATGTGAATCTCCCTTAATATTATATATAGATATATATTATTCGATATTCATAATTAACCATATTGATAAAATTAACTATGATTTCCCATATTAACTATGATCATATATATAGGTACATATTAAGCTAGGTACCAGTACATGATCATCTATCTTATCATTATGAATCAACACTATGTTTGGAAAAAAAAAGAACAGAGGTTCTAAATTAATTTATTTAAGACAATTTTCAAGCCGGTCTAAATAAACACATTTTTTTGGTCTAATTTCATATTTAATTTAATTAACTAACGATATATTAAAGTAGAAAAAAAGTTAACTCGTTCGCTTAAAGTGCAAGGAAATGAACCGAATAACAAAACGTCGTAAGCTGTGACAATCTATTTTTCTTTAAGACGCGTTTACGAAAGAATAACAAATTAAGAATATTAGAATTAATTAAATATAACCATTATTACTGTAATGAATTACATGTTTTTTAAATAAAAAAAAAGCGAAGAGACGCAATTCCCAGCGTTGACCAAAATCCCCACAAGTCGCGAGTTCTTTTCGTTTGAAGAAACCCTAAATTACTGTCAAAATTGTTAGTAGTGTCCACATGCCCTCTACCACCTGTCACCCGCACGGTTGCACCAAATATTTTTATTTTCGCAAGTCATTATATTATATGGTAAAAATGCAAATAGAAATTTTTTTCACAGTTCAATTATAGAGTGAAAATAATGATAAATGCCTCCAAAAAAAGAAAGAAAGTAGACCCCCACATGGTGACTCAATGTTAGGGTTTTCATATTTTCCACGGACCCATCACTCTTCCATTAAATATTTTTTTGTTAAAAATAAAATCTTTAATACTATACGATAATTGCTTATTGAAAGCTATGGTCGGCTTTATGATGCATATATAGATAGTATATATCTCTAGTGATTTTTAATATTTTAAGATGAACATTTTTTTATTAATATGCGCGCATGTACGTGAAACTCTTTTTTTTTTTTTTGGTAAATTAGTTATAAATCCATTTGGTAAATTATATCACTAAATTATGTACATGCATATATATAATAACTTTTGCACATTTTTATGTGTGTGTATATATATATATATCATGATTGATTTTTTATCATTAAGGAAATCATGATAGCGAATGTGGAACCGATCGAAGATGAAGCATTATAGGTGGACCACTCTGTCCGTGAAAATCATGAATATAGTTGAGGTTGTATTTTTTATTTTAAAAATTAATTAACCCAATTTATATACACATATATAAATTAAGAGATAGCGCAACATACATACATACATATATATATATATACATACATACATACAAATTCACGAATAGAAATCTGATTTTGATTTTTATCCTATAAATATTGCTCAAATTTTTTAGAAAAAAATCGCATATAATACCCAAATTTTTCTATAAAAATTCAAAATAAATATATCGACTATAAAACTTTCATATAAATACTTAAATTTCTTAAAAATCTTGTATAAATAACTATACTTTTAAAAAAACTCTAAATAAACATAAAATTTAGGTATTTTTAAATAAAAGTGGCCGACGTCATTAACAAGTTTTGCGTTTATTTAGAAAATTTTCAAAAGTTTATGTATTTATATAGGATTTTAGAAAATTTTAGATATTTGTATGAAAGTTTTATAATCAAGTATTTATTTGAGATTTTTATAAAAAAAAAATAGGTATTTATATGTGATTTTTCTCTTTTTAGTTTCAAAAGTAAAATAAATAAATGGAATTTTCTCGTGGATAAAATACGTTTCTAACGATTTAATTTAATCAAATAAAAAATACATACAATAACAACAGTGATGCCAAATGTGTATGTACTTATCTTGTAGTCTCTTCCAGCACAAAGTTCGTGGGACATATTTGCCTTCCGAAACGATCCAAATTCTCTTTTGTAATTTTCCGACCAATTCTTCCTCTTTTGTTTCCTCCAAACAGTCTCTGCAACAGTTTTTTTTTTACGCATTTGCTCGTGTTTCGAACACATTTTCATTATATATATATATATATATATGTGTGTGTATATATAATATATTCCACTGTCACGGTCGGTCAACAACAAAGCCCGTCTGCAACGCCACTTACCATGAGAGACATGCACCCATGTTTCTAGTGACGCAAAATAAAAAATAAAACTGTTGGAAAGTGATTGAGAAGGATAAATGAAATAATTTCATATTGTAGACACCAACGAACACTGTTGTAATGATATGGACGGAAAGGAACTCGAGAATCCACCGATCTGAGTCTCGGCCAGCTGAGGTGATTCGTAAGGACGTTATTCGGTTCACTCGACGGAAGCTTTCCTCGGTTCAGGCCGATTTATCACCTCCCGCTGCAGGGGATATCATGTCTTTTTTGTTCCGTAACTTTGATCATTTATGAATTTTGGCTCCTGAACTTTTGACTCATTAGGCTGATGTAACTTAAACTCTCTTCGTTGTATCTGAGCAGTTGTATTTAATAGAATTTACCGTTTACCAAAAAAAAAACGAGCACTGTTGTATGCAATTGTAAATGTGAACCATATGTAGAAAGGGGATACATATATATATATATACATATACACTCTAAGTTTCACAATTCCAAATTTTCGTTGTTTTAATGAAATTCTTTGTTACATTTTGTTTTATGACACATTTAGGATATAAAATGTGGAGTTATATAAAATACCCTTTTATGGTGATTAACAGATGTGACATTGAATCATATATATACATGTGCACTCTAAGATGGGAAACTGTTAAGGAAGAAGGGTTCCCCAAAAGAACAAAACCAAAGAGACTAAAGAGAAAAGGACAAAAACAAGAGACAAAGTGGCAAAGACAGAAGTGGTGGGTGAGGTTTTAAATTACAATAAAATAAAATATATTAACTTTCTTCTATATATATATATATACATGATCTAATGGCGGATATATATATGACCGAGGATGTGTCATTTGCGATGGAGAGATCAATCTCATTTAATGCAGTTTTTTTTTCTTGTTTTTTTCAATTTATTTGTCTATCGATTTCCCGATTCGTTTTAAAATTTTCTAATATATTTTATTACTTATTGGATTATATATATATATATATAAGGTTGAACTCTAACTACTATCGTTCGGATACGCTGACTAGATAAACCTTCGTTCCTGAACCAGTCTTTGTATATAGACCTTATTAACCCAGAAATTACATACCCTTCTGCCAAATGGAGTCGAATACCTAACTTTTGAGGTGCATTGCACTATCAGATTGACCACTAGACCACCCCTTGGTCGGTTATTGGATTATATATATATATATATATATATAT